CCTGCGGGTCCTGCAGGCCCAGGGAAGCAGAGCATTTTGATTTTTGTTTTTAAAGAAAAATTCTGGCTCTGGGAGTACCAGAAATATTTAGAAAACTGTTGAACCCTACCAAGATCATGTGCAATAAAGCATTAGTCCTAAAAAGCTGAAAACATTCTTTTTAAGGCCAAGTCATTCTTACTTTTATTTTCTGCCAATAAACCTCCAAATGATAAGCATATTTGGTTAGATTCAGGAAACTCCAAAATTTTGTGATAGAATATGCCTTTCCTGTTATAACTGCAATAAGACTACACTAATATAGATTGTCAGGGTCTTAATAATAAACAGGCTGAAGAGTTTCTCTTTCCAGTCAGCAAGATGGCTCAGTAAGTTCAATCCCTCCGACCCACATGATGGAAAAATGGGCTTCTGACCTCCATAAGTACAGCATAGCACAACTCCCACACATATATTAATAAATGCAATTAAACATTTTGAAAAGCATTTCTCTTTTCTTAGCCAGGTGGCACATGACTTTAATACCAGTACTTGGGAGGCAGAGGCAGGTGGATCTCTGTGAGTTCAAGGCCAGCCCAGTCTACATAGCAAGTTGCAGTCCAGCTGGGGCTACAGAGAGACCCTGTCTCAAAAAAAAAAGACCAAGAAAAAAAAAAAAAAAACAAAAAAAAAAAAAAAAAAAAAACATAATCAGCCAGACATGGTGGTGCACGCCTTTAATCCCAGTGCTTGAGAGGCAGAAACAGGCAGATTGCTATGAGTTCAAGATCAGTCTGGTCTACGTACTAAGGTCCAGGCTAGCCAAGGCTCCACAGTGACACCCTGTTTAAAAAAAAACAGCAACCATAACCAAGGTGGAGACAGGACTTCAATAAAGCATCTCCTGAGTTGCCCACTATTCTGTAAGTGAAACTGAATAAAACTCATTTGCTCTTTTGAGTATCCTTGGGAAATTCACATTCATCTCTAAATAAGATCTCCTAGTTTTGGATTAGGGATATTCAACTTATTTGGGGTAGGGGTGGTTGTTGAGACAGGGTTTCACTATGTAGCCCTCGTTAGCCCAGAACTCACTGTATAATCATGCCTGTCTCAAACTCACAGGGATCTACCTGCCTATGCCTCCCAAGTACTGGGATTACAGGTGTTTGCTACCACATCCACCTCGTCCACCTTATACTTATTTTTTATATACAGAAAAGGAC